GTATAAGCTAATATATTCTAGCCTCGGGACTAGGCCTTTTCTAGATATATCATATTAAGCCGCTTAAGACCCATCCCTAGCCCCATCTCTATCTCTATCTCGGTCTTAGCCTTCCTCCTTCACGATATTATCGACGCTAAGGATATAGGCCGCTACATCTTACGGCTTACCTCTAACCTACCTTCTCTCGGTCCTACTCCACTCCTCCCTGACTATCACAATAAAACTACCGCCGCCGGAGCCTACACCCACGCCTTCAAGGCAGAAGGGGTCATAAGTTATCACAATAGGCGCTATAGCCCGCGCCTAATATGCGACTATATACCTATATGCAGCGAGGCACTCCTCGTCGTGAACCATAAATACGCCTTAGCCTTAAGGCAAGGGTTTAAACCTATATTACAGCGAAAGTTAATTACTCCATAACTCATAATACCTAATTCCTTAGATAACTAACGCATACATACCGAGAGTACACCCCCAGCATATTAACTACCTAATTAGCTCGGGGGGGTTCACTAGACTATCGGCGATCATACCCGGTATTAGTTCCACACCCTTGCGAATAAGCTAAGCCGCGTTAATAATACTCCCGCACTAGTTAATAGGGCCTATCCAGCTCGTAAATAAGCTAACAATACCAAATAACCGCCGAGCTACTTTAGAGGGTTTAGTCTACCCAGATCGAGGGTCCCAGCTAAGGCCGGTATAAGACTAACAACGCGAGAAGAAAGCACATTATAATTAGGCAATAATAACTATAGAGGAACCAATAGTATTTCAGGCGATTAGACTACTAACATAGTAGCTAATCTAGATACAGAGGACCTAGCGGGACCCTTTGCATTTGGGCATTCCGGTTAGTATAAGGCCGGATTCTAGCCCTAGCGTCTAAATAACATATATACACATAACCGCCCGGTGAGGTAATCTAATATATCTACTGCCTAGCGATCCGCGAGGGGTCCATTACGTAACTAATCTGCTTCGGGCCATTCTTAGTAGCTCATAATATTAGCTTTACACCTATATAGGCACATATTCATATTTGCTATGCCAAGTAAAGATCTAGCCAGTCAGACCGCTCCCTTTATAACTAATCCCATCACGCTAACAGGCCAACAATATTAAACAACCGCTCGGTTGCGGAGTGGTCAGCAGAATTAAGCCTAGGCCGTAAGAGGTGAACAAGGTAAGCGCAAATAGACCGACTGCCCCATCAAGGCATTAGCCAGTTAGCTAACACGCGCGCAGGAGTTAGCACAGTTCTATAGTATTAAGAGGATACTTTCTTAATATAGAACCAAGTTCGGATATACTATACGGCGCTTTAGCGTTAAGCGCCCTCTATCGGTATATACTCCGCTGTCACCCATATAGCTCATAAGATATACTAGTACTAGATCAGCCCGGGGGCTTAGGCCTAAAGTTCTAGCCATTCCGAGAAGGAGTAAGCTTTACGGATACATTCACCTTAGGTATATGGGTTAGATCTGCCATATATATGCACGACCATATTCGTATCAGACACAGGCATAGCTACACTCGGTTTTCTTTCTATGCATTCTTCTGACTTTCCTCGTATTTCATCTCTAACCTTCTACGCCTTATCTACCTAACCCCTATTAGACATTCTTATTTTACTAAAGCTTTTATACCTAATCCTGGCCTCCCCTGCGGCCCTAAGAGACTATTACTACTGCCCCGCTATATAGTTATAGTATCTACCGTCGGCTATCGCTTAGCCGCCACGATGCATAAGTATCTCGATCTCTTTCCTACGAAAAGGGGCATCTACTAAGATAATAACCATAGAGTTTAAAGTATTCAAACTAGTAGCAATCTCTCTTCTACTAGTAGCAAGCTTGGTTTTCTATAGTAGGTCCACCGATGACCTAAATATAGGCTCATTCATGCTTAGGCTCGGCTAATAGATAATAGCCTTATGCTTAATAGGTTATATAACTAATAGCCCTAGACTCCCTAATATATTTCTTATCGCTATAAATACCTCTAGTATAGGAGAGCTTCAAGTTAGCTATTTCGGTAAGGCTTATCTAATTAGGAAGGTAGCCTTTGCTCTAGTAACGGAGTGCTAGCCCCGAATATGCATTCAAATGCTAAGAATGCCTAGGTTTATGCGTATATCGAAACGGCAGCTAAAACTACATCGCTACCCCTTATGCGGCATCTCCTCGCTCCGTTAGTTCCGCCCTCTCTATTAGCCTCGAGCAGGGAGAGCGTGCCCCATTGCTAGCAACTATAGCTCTATTAACTGTCCTCCGGCTGCAGAGGAGTATATTCTTCTGCCTAGAGGCCTTCGCCGGTATGGCTTTTATCCTTAGCCTCCTATTATTTCTCACTAGGGTCTATATCTAGGCGAGTAAACGGGGTGGGCAGACGTGGCGTCTTATTAAGCAGTAATAGCTAGAGAAGCTCTTAATAGCTTTAATTGCTATTTCCCTCATAAGTGCGGCATCTATTATATAAGTAGCGAATACACTCGAGTTTATCATATATAAGTCAAGTATTACTTCGGTCGGTATTAGGGCCGGGCAAATACTACAAGTCCTTTAATGGCTTGTATTTGCATCGTCGGCTATGCTATATGGTATCGTAGCTCACCGGAGCCGAAGGCTACGCGGCAGCAATGCTATTAGCCCCGGGAAGACTAGCAGTATATCTGGCTAAGCACCGCCGCCGCCGCCGCCGCCTGGCCCGCCTCCTCCGCCCGGTCTGCCTCCTCCCCGACCCCCCGCTAGGTTCCCACCTCCGCCTCCGCCTCCGCCTCCGCCTCCGCCCCCACGATAATAATCTATATCTATACTCTTTACTACCTATGGCCCACTCTTGGCTTGCTTAGTAGAGTCCAGGGACTTAAGTCAAAGGCACCCTCTTTACCCTAGTAATTAGCCCCTAGGGGCAATGGCCTAGCCTAATAGATAAATAAATTAGATTTTTAGCCCTAACCGACGGGATAAGACCTAGTCTAGTCCTCATAACCTCTGTTCACTTAATTACCTACCCTGCCTGCCCGTCAACCCCACTTACCCTGCATCTCTGACTTGCCTGGCATAACACGGTCTTCTAGATAGCCTCATGGAGGTTAGTAACTTTAAGAGCGAAAGGCGCTTTAGCTTAGTGGTCAGAGTAATCCCTCTGACTAAGGGACAGACCCGGTTTCGAGTCTCGGAAGCGTCTAGCTAGCCTTAAAGAGCTTTTTTTGCTGATTAGAATAATATTACTTTTGCCTACCCTGGACTACTATCTCTTTCTCTTTTTCATCTTTCTTCTACTTCTTTTATTTCTACCTCCTCTTATATTATTTATACTATCTACTATTAGTATTCTAATTATATAGTTAAAGCTAACTATTATTACTAAGTCCTATTCATATATATAGTTACTATTAGGTATTATATAGGTAATATACCTACTATAAGAGCTCCCCCCCTACCTTCTCTCTCTCTCTCTCTTACTCTCCTTTTTTTTTTTTTCCCTTCCTATCATTGCCTATTATATCATATCATATATCATTATATATAACTAGTCAAACGTATTATACTATGCGTAAAATATAGTAATTAACTAAGCCCTTAAGTTTATCTCTATTTAAGCACTAGATTAAAGACGGCTATAGTATTAGTCATCTCTCGCCCGCATACTAGCTTGCTATGCTTACGGCCCAGCCAGTCAGCATAGTTATCCCGACCTTTAAAGTCTCGACCGGCAGCCTCCTAGACTTGCGACCATATATCTGCCTCCGTTATAGCGGCTAACGCCATAGGGACTATAGCATACTTCCACCGATATAATGCTCCTTTAGTCTCATAACCGTCCCGATAGAGCTCCTGCGATACATAATAATAGAAGCAGCTCAAGAAACATACCTATAGATCCTTCTTATAGTTAACTAGACCCTAAAAGTTTATATAGCTAGAGAAGGATAGATCCTTCTCTGCTATGGCACCATAGGTACCCCACTAGTGCCCGGCCTCCTTAACGCTATCGAATATCCAGTAGATATAGCAGCCTATCTTACTAAGCTCTTCTATCTCCTCTAAGGCGGCCTCGAAACGTTCTAAAGCGAGGGCATCGCGCCTACCGCGGGTATATAATGCTATGATACCCTGCGAGGATAGCTCACTCTTCCATAACAGCTCATCGCGGCGGCAATTATCGCATCAGACGGCATCGAGATCTCCATAGTCCCGTAGGTCACTATCTAAGCATTGGCCTAGGAGGCGGCGACGGCAACCTTATATCCGGATTAGCCTATATACCTCGCGCGTGCTTAAGTCTAGGTAGCTATCGCGGATATAGTCCTTAACCGGCCAGTCCTTCTCCTCGACGACTATCTCTGCGGTAACGGGCTCCCTAGCTCGCCCGCCCCGCCCCGACTCCTAGGCATAGTCGATAATACTAAATAGGGCCTCGAGATGGATAATATAGACGATGCCTACAATATTAAGGCCCGTGCCTAGAGCCGCGGTAGCTATAATATAGGGTATTTCGCCGTTAACCTATGCCTAGAAGCCCTACTCGCGCTGGGCTAGGAACTATATATCGCTATCATCGCGCTAAGCGTAATAGTAATAATAACTAAGCTGCCAGGTAAGCGCTCTATACTTTACGTAGCTAGTATAGTATATAACCCCCTTCTCCCCCGGTGCTAGACATAGGAGCTAGGTATCCACTAGCCTCTTTACCTCTATGACGCCCCGTCCGTTATAGACGCGAAGGATAAAGTACCGCACGTTTAGCCGATAGCTCGAAGCCCATATATAGAGCGGAGCCTGGAGCTACATAGCTTCTTCGAAGTCGCATTAACGGAGCGGCGGCAGGGTCCCAGTGAGGAATACGAAGGGACACCCCAGGCTCCGCAGGAGAACGAGGCAGCAGAGCTTCGCGCGGTAGGTTTCGGCGGCAGTAAATAATAGATAGCACTCATTAATAACCACTCGGTCTAACCTTCCCCTAACACTCAGATTAGCGGCCCACTACAAGAAGTCATCGGTAATAGCCGCCTCGGCCGAGACCAGCATAACCCTGGGCCAAGATTTACGCGCCTCGGGCTAGGACTTACAGTCTAGGCCGGCATCGACGCAGCGTATGACCAGCTGCCTCTTTAACTCGGCGAACAGAGCCACCACGATAGTCACGCCTACACCTGCCAGCATAGCCGGGACTATGAAGACTAGGCTCTTCCCGCCGCCGGTTGGCAGCACGGCAACCAGCGGGCTCTGCTTCGCCGCGGCCAACCTGACGGCCTCTTCTTACTAGGGTGACCGAAACTAGGCAGCGTCATCACGCAGGACAGCTCGGAGTGCCCGCAGGATCATATTATCCTTCTTCTTATCCCCCACTACTGCTATTATACCTGCCCTTAGCTTCTCGAGCGAGGCAATCTTAGCCCGCTTCCGGGGAGGGTAGTACTTCTCCTCTCCGCTAGACTCGGCCGCACCCTTGCGCTTCGAGGACGAAGTTAACGACGGCGGCGGCTCTAAGGCCGATTGCTACTGCGCGTCGTAGCCGAGGAACTTATGCCAATGACGGCTTACCTGCCCGAATATATCCAGAGACTCGGCCATTAGGCGCTTCAGCATATCGATCGTAATACCGTAGTTAGCGGCTATCTAGCCAGTATGATAGGCAGCTAGATCGTCCGGCGCCTCGTATTACTCCGACTTATTATCGTCGTCGCTATCCTTAAAGTCTACCCGAGTAGCCCCCCGGTCGTGAGCATGCTTCTTACTAATAGCGATAGCGATATAGCGCCAGTCTTAGAGCGTAATCCTACGGCCGATATAGTGGGAGGTCCACTTCCCCATGGCCCCAGATATATGACTGCCCTCCCACGGCCCCGTCTCGTTATACTAGATAAAGTCGCTCGGCGGCGCCATCTTACTATATAGCTCCCATCTATCCGCCTCCCAGCGATCCATCAGCGGTCAGATATAGACCATATACATCACGAGCAGCTACCTAATCCTCTCCGGCAAGAAGCGGGGGATCACCTTCGGCGAGTCGAAGTAGGCTAGAGACTTATAGTACTAGGTGACGAGCACAATATCGCCGTCGATAATAAAGACATTGCGGTCCCTATTAATACCGTTAACCAGGCGCAGGCCCGTGATCTCTTCCCCTCGGCTAGGCTGGCCGCCGGTGATATAAGAGAGGAGCAATAAAAACTCCTCGAACTTTTTCACTAGCTTTAGGTACTTCCTAATACCTACCTATTTCTACTCGCCGGCTCGGTCTAGGAACTCTGCCTTCCGCGAGCCTATAACGAGGTCCTCGAGCATCTCGACCTCCTTGCCTACGAGGTCATTAATATAGATAAAGGACCGGCCTCGCCTTATCTAGGTAAGATTATCCTTAATGCCGGCTAGAGGAATAATAAAATACTCGTCGTCGCCCTCCTTAAATATTAACTAACCCCATAGCAGGTCCTCGGCGTCTTTCGTTATCCTGGCCACTATATGACGAATCTTCTCTATTAGGATTAGCTTACCCATGAAGTATATTATCTCGCCGTCTTTGCTCTAGGATACTATTAGCCGGCTACTAGTCTCCTGCGCGATCTTCCTTCCGTATAGCAGTAGGCTAAGCGTATAGCCTATAGGAGAGTATATCGCCTTATAGAGCTAGGCGTCTCGAACCTAGGCGAACCGTTGCGCGAGGTCTATTATCCCGGTCCGCTCCCGGGTAGGTATAGCCTACTCTCCCAGTAGCGCCCGCCCCGTAAAGACGAGTCCCGCAAGCATATAGGTAAATAGGTGGGCAGGTCGGAGCTGCCCCGTCTCGCCGTCGATTCCTAGCACGCCGACGAAGTACCATAGCGGGCTCGCAAAAGGGTCCCCGTCGAGCCGCTGCATCTAGAAGTCCGCCAGAATCTATAATATCTCTTCCTATAGCCCCTCGCCCGACTATTCCTTATCCTATAGATGCGCCTAGAGTAGCTCGAGGCTAGCCCTCTGTGCATGCGTGAAGTAAAAGCCGTATTCGGCAAATAGCGCGTCCTCCTCTAGCGATAGCACATTGAGGTAATAGCATAAGAACCGCTTCACATATACTAAGTAGCGATCTATGCTAGTCTTCTCCTATAGCGGCCTAAACGGTCGGCTATGCGTATCGTGAGGGTGGGGGCTAGCTAGGAGCAGGCGGGTCATCAGGGGCATACTCTTTAACCCGCCGATATAGCGGTCGAAGAATAGACGATCTAGAGCCGTAGCCATCTGTCGCAGCTCGTCGTCGTCATAGCCGGGTATCCTACTATAGGCTTAGATATCCACCAGATTCCTCCCGGCGAAGTAGGCTAACCAGCCGGTCCTCTTTAGCCAGTTCGTCGTCTTATGCCTTAGGATCCCCTCCTCTATGACCTTCTATATTTTCTCTTGCTCTTCCTGCTGTAGTGACTACCCTTGGGTGATATCGGCGATTATGGTCTGATCTTCCGGGTGCGTTTACTGCCTATTTACTATCGTCGCTCTTTTCCTCCTGCTGACCGGCGTCGGAGGATCTCTTGCTGCCGGGATAGTATCGCTGCCGCCGGTAGAGATGCCTACGCAGAAGTAATAGATTACCCTCTTTGGTCCCGTAAAGAATATCTATAGACGGACGCTAGTCTAGAGATCCGCCCGCGCCTTAGCTCCTTTTATGTTATGCTCGTTATTGAAGTAAACCCGTAGGCGCTTCTAGCTCGGCGTGAGGTACCTGTAGCCCGGCTAGGTATAAGCGAAGCCCCGGTGAATAGGGAGGCCCTTGATGGCCCGGGTCGGGCTTAATGCACTGTGCTAGACGAGCTGCTCTATTGCTGGTCCTTGTAGCTATAGACCCTTGTGGCGGCGGATGAGATCGCTACGGGCCCGATGGTTGATATTAGGGTAATAGTCCCTTAAGTGACTCTCGAGGTTGCGGACCGCATAGCTATAGAAGGCGCAGATTAATAACTAGTACTCGCCGTTATATATAAGCCACTTTTCTCCTAGTTAGGTGCCTTCTACATGAGAATAATAATAATGATAATGATAATAATGACTAGCGGACTCTCCCGTGTCTTCCTGATGTTCTGGCCCGTTGCTATTAGGTAGGTCTACTAGATGCGCCTAGGCTATCATAGTGAGTAGCTGCTTGCTTTCGCTAAAGAAGCTCTCTCTCGAATGAATAGTGTCTGCTGGAATCTGCTCGATCGTCGTTGCCTGCGCTATTACCTATGTATTATGGATATATATAATAATGAGATTAAGCTTATATGTTCTCCCGGCCGGCGAAGAATCAATCCGGTATCTAGAGACGCGTTGTATTATATTTCCCTCTTCTCTTTACTTTTTCCTTAACCCTGAAGTTCTCTCTCCTCTATCTTAATTAGCTATAGCAC